TAGAATATCTCTTTACCAATAAAAAAGGAAGTAAAAGCTGCACTTACTATTCATTCATTTAACGCTGATATTATTTATGACAATGTCCCATACTGGTCGAGCCGACTCATGCGACACGGCACAAAAATATCCATAATTACATCTCTGTCATTTTTGATCGTGAAGACACTTTGTCAATACAGCACCAAAGATGCATTCACTAAAATAACTCGTACATGTTTACCATTTCACCCTTTGATCTCGAATTTGATGCTAAATATATAGAATTACCTTTGGTAAAACTGCATAACCCCAAAAAAAACGCCCGAGCCCCGGCCCAAATAATAAATCTTACCTCGCCAAGGTATACTTACCTGAACATTGGGTTGTTCATTGAGTCCAAGACCAAAGCAGTTGCAAGGAAGCTGGGAGTCCTTGCAAAGGTGAGTCACACTGGATAGTTATTTACTTTATATAAAGCGCAAGTCTGGTCGTACATGGAGTATTGATGTCATAACGTGCGTAAGCTTTGGACTCAATGGATAGGGGTGCTAAGAGGCTTATTAGTGACCCGAATCTAGTTAAAACCATTTTCAATTACCAGAAATTTATTAAAAAATACGCAAACAGACAAACAAATATTACCAGCCTCGAACATGGACGCAAAGTAGCCAGTCTGTCAATTTTCTACAGGATACATTTTGGAGTGTGCGCAGGAATTGCATAACTTAATTTTTCCTCTCTCTTCTACCATCGGACAACCAGACGTTCAGTCAGTCTTCACCCTTTCGTTGTTGACTTACCACGCATTCATACCAACACATGTAGGCTTGCTACATCGTTCGTCATGCGTACAGCAAAGGAGTGGAATAAGTTGTCAGCATCTGTCTTACCCTCAAGTTAGAATGTATCTTCAAGGCAAGAGTGTATAGGCTTTTGTTAATTCACTGCGCTTCACCATCTTAGGTTACATTACCAGTTACCGTCAGGTGGGATTGCAGTTAAGCGCTGCCTAAGAGTATTAAAATAATAGTAATTATATTGTTTGTCCCAATTCCACATTCACCTCCAATGTAAGGTGACACAAATTCTCTAGTCGCAACCAATTTAATAGCGGCAATGTTAAATTTTAATTTTAATTTGACGCATTCACCTGCCGAGAAAATAAACTGAAAGCAATATTATATTACTATATATATTTTTGGGGTATTTATATAGTTATCTCATCTGGCTGGTCTTTATAAATATATAAATGAAAATGATAATAAAATATAAATAAAATAACGTAATAATAGTAAACCCAAATAAATAAGGAACCCAACCAGATCCCTTCGGCTAGGGAGAAAAAACGGCCGAGGATTAGGGAGAAAAGGAGAGAATTTGGGGACGATGTGAACGGGTAGTATCGAGGAACATCGCCTTCTGCATCTGAGCTCGGGGGTCGGTCCGTCACGGTGTCCCAGTCGCCACAAATGACCCGATAGGCTGACCGGGATTAGCCAGTTCGTAAAAACGGCTACAGGTATAATTTCGGCCGGCAGACCACCCCACATGTCTGTCAACTCGTGAGCCAGGTCCAGATATTTTGTTCGTTTGTCTGTTTGTCAACTTTATTCTATAAATACACTTCGTAGGCAACCGCAATTTATTTTTATGTTGAATTGTTATCAGTAAGATACTGCTTATTACCTGCTAAAGGTATGTAATGAACATTATATACCTTTTTACTAATTTTATAAAGTTACTTTCTTGTTTGTCTGTGTGTTTAATCTAGTAATTGATTTTAAGCTAACTTCAAGATGAGCTGCAAACTGGAAATTTTTGTTAAAACTCAAGTTCAGATGACGGTGCAAGAATATAATAAAAAAACGTGGTATTTTTAATTTCATTTGTCTATTGATTAGTATAAATAATGGCCGCATTTCGGTTTGCCCAGTTTACTTTACTATTTTTACAATAGGTACATCTAGAGTTTTATTGTGATCCTATTGTCTAGATTAAAACATTGAAGGACTGTAAACAATTAAACGCTAAGAATCGAGTGCTGAGTGTAATTTAGTTTGCTTTGAATTGCTGAGTAGTTCTTAAGGGGAAGTTATACCTACAGTAGATGTAAAAATATGTTTTAATTATAAATTGTGAATTAAAAAAATATTTACATTTTTATTTGTTGTAAATATATAAACAAATATGTATTGAGTAATAAATTTACTTGTCAGAAATGTAGTGACCGTATACAGCGGAGTAAAGTAATCTACTAACAACATCATCCTGTGGATGTCGTAAAAAAGAAATAGGAAATTAAAACTGAAACAGAAGATGGGCAACAGGATCCTCCTGGAGAGAAATCAAAATAATAAAATCTGAGGTTGCCAACGCGCTTGCTAAGCGAGACAATTCGCGTTAACTCCATTATGAAGCCAGCTAAGGGGAGGTCCACATTCGATAGTGGACCTATGAAAGACTGTATTAATTGAATAAACGAATGAAGTAGTCCAATGCTGAACTTCTTGACCATCACATGGAGGATTTTCTAAAAAGCCGGTTGCAGACCGAAAACTAAGCTATTAGCAAATCTAAACAAATGCAGCTAAGATAAACTAAAAATATGTCCCGCGCACGTCACGAACTAAACGAAAGCTCAGTCAGTGTTCGGAAGTTCAGTTCGACAGGCGTCGCTCACTATGAATATAATCAAGGAAGAAAGTTCCGATGATGAATATTTAAACATAGAAAAAGATTTATTATTTAAAACAAAAGAGTTATTCTTTAAAAAAAGACATTACAGACCTTGGATATGTTACAATTTCAATAAATTGCTCCATATTCGCCACAAAACGACCGAACGCACGACGCACGATACAGTACAGCACTGGCAAAGGATGTGCGAAGGGGTGTAGGCGGGAGGGGCTTAGCTTAGCTCGTGTAGCTGTGTATCGGCATACACAACTAAGTTAGCTTCGCATATTTTAGTTAGCTCACATAGCTTAGTTTGAAAAGTTTGCAGTCTGTACACAAGTATGAAAAACTGCGTCAGCTATGCGAGCTTGGTCTGCAAACGGCCTAATTAAATAAAATAAATTAAAAAAAATATTTTAGGCCCATAGCATGTTAGTAGTACAAATAAAACTTAAGAACTAATGTTAGTACACGAAACAATTAAATAAAACACAATAGAAATAAAACAAAATAAAAATTCAAAAAATGCATACAAATTGATAGACTTATCAAGCTCAATTTAGTACATGTAGCTTGACAAACCCACCTACTGTCGGGCCATCGAGCTTCTCCGCAAAGACCCTCAAGAAACTATTCGAGCTCCCCCCTCAGTCTGCGCATTAATAACTCCACTTTTTTACGCATGATCGCGAAGTAGTCATCAGTATGCACATCGGCGAACATTCCTGATGCACTACAATGAGGTGGAAGCCCCAACAATAACCTGAAGGCATTGTTATATTGAATACGCAGGGTATTGTTTAAGCGTCATGCTTTTTTTAAAATGAAATTTCAGTAACAAACTAACTTGTAGCAGTTGACACCAGTAAAAGCTTAAAACATAAGACAATAATCAATGTAGGAAGATCAAGATATTTTAAATTAAAAAGGTAAAACTGTAATTTAGAGTAATGGTTTTTCGATTTATTTTAATTTCTATATTTTGAACAGAGTTAATGCTATAAACACGGAATACATTAATACATACATAATAGAATGGGGGAGTGGGCGTAACCACTCAAATGTCACTAACACGTCAATTGACACCTATAAATGTCAACATGAGATGTGTTTTGACGTTACAATCGTTTCCAAATTTCGCATGCAAATTATTTAAAAAATGCCAAATTGAACCCTATTTACAAATAAATATGTATTAAAATTTAATGATGATCTTGTCCAAAATGTTTAAATTTACTCAGTCTGTCAACACAGCGAATCGGGCTTGGCGACGCCAATCCTCGTATAAAATAAAGTTGACAGCCATTCTATCGTATATTACAGTATTCTATGGCTATAAACATACTAATATTTATATGTGGTAGAACCAAGCTGCATTTATATTATTAGTATACAGTATTTGACGGTAATATGATCATCCGTTTAATAAAAAGGTGGCCAACCTTCTTACTACGCAAAAACTACAGTCTTGTTTGCATAGATGGCTGTGTGATGTGATAGATCTTCATCAGTCAATGATATATTAAAGGGTCAAGAAGGCGCTGCTTTATCGACGTTATTTTGGCAATTGACATTATAGTAATTATCTATAATTACTTTAGTCTATTTTAGTATTGTGTAGTGTGGTTAGTTTTTTAATTTGATGATAATTATTGCCAAAGCTTGTTTGCTACTATTTTCTTAATATATTGTATTAGTTATAGTGTACGACTTTGTGTTTTTATCTCTGTTCTCCTCATAGTTTTGGTTTTATAGGGCAGCAAAGCTCAAGGTGACCATATTACCCTCACATACCTTAGCTGTACTACAGAATACTAGCGTAAAATGGCAGCATAACGTTGCTGTGTTTTGTATGGTGGATACAGGGAATCGGAGATCCCTTTTAATGGAAACGAAGCATTCCTTCTTAGTCCTTACGGGTGACACTACAATTTGATTCGTAGTCGAGGATCGAGGTAGATGTCAATGAGCCACAGGAACTACTTATCATCAGGTGGACTGTGTGCTCGTTTGTCACCCTTGTTCTTTAAAAAAATATTAACGTTGAGTATTAGGAGTAGTTCATGAGAGTACCTTTATGTGGTCCATACCCTTAATAATTAGGCAATCTGTTTATCACTTTTTAAATTAAAATGGTAAAGTAAGGAGTCATATTCGCCTTAATAAAGAAACACTCAGTCATCACAATCGGTCGCATCGTATAGAATTGCTAAGTTGGAACGAGGGTCATTTGAACTTTAACGCGTTAGGTTGGTGGTATTGCGATAAAAAACAAAAGAAAGTAGACATATTTTTTATTTAAACCATCGTAAGGTTTGTGATAATTACGAATTGTGAATTACTTGGTGCGTATGCTTTTGCAATATAATTTTTTATATTTTTTAAAGTTTTTTTTTTTTAAATTTAAGTAGTAATAATATACGGACTAAGGTAACGCAGTATGTGTACTTATATTTTTAATAATTGTATTTGTTTCACACTTGTAAGTAACCATATTTTATGGACATGTTTAAACTGCTTATTCTTGAAATAACTACTGTTTTGTAAAACAAAGACAATTTAGTGAGTTGATATGAATTGATTATTAGTAAGGGGTTAGAGGTATGACGGTTGCGTCACAATTCTGTTATAGAATGAAAAAACGGAAATTGCATGATCCATATCATGGGCGATTTCAAGGGTAAGAAGTTTTTTTTTATAGAAGCATGGGTTGTCACCGAGCACACAATCTACTTGATGGTTTCCCACAACGACTTAATCTAATATACTTGATTTATAATCAAAACGCAGGTGCGTTGTTACCGCTGACGACCAATTTGCGTCGTTAGCAGTAAAATAATCATGGATTCACGTCAATGCAAAACAGCAGTTTGAGTTGCTGTTTTATTTTTCTACCTATTCTGTTAGTTGTCTTCCTCGATTAAACTCACCCAGTCCTATCATAATGAGTTATGACCAGGTAAGGTCGTTTTGGCATATAGCATTTTATTGCTGTTAATATTGTATACTAATAATATTATACAACATGTAACAATCAGTAGTCGCATTAAGTGCGTTATCAGAATCAGTATTCAAACGTATAGAAATACCTTTACTTCAGGTAATTTGAGCAAATTTTTTTAAGCTATTGCATAGCTTCTATCGCGGGCCTTGAGCGCGGGGACCGAATCTAGAAATTCCATAACGAAAAAAAACCTCGCGCTCCCCACTCCGACGGGCACGGAGGTGTGGCGTTGAAAGCCGTGCATCGTCTAACGTCGTTTCAGTTCGGCAGACTTCGGCACTCGGCAGAGTTCGGCACGGTGTTTGTGTGCGTGCGACTAGACGTATGCATGTAAACTAGATGCTAACTCAATGATAAAAATTCCTGAATAACCTACATGTATTGTAAGATATTAAAAATATTTTAAACAATATTAACTTCTCATTTATTCAATAAGAGAAAAAAAATTGTTTTCTTATCGGTCACCACGCTCAAAAAGTGTAACTTGATTTAATATCAAAGACTTAACTGCATAAATAAAATAAATAAATAATTATAATTGCATAAGTTGATAAAAAATGCTATGCAATAGCTTTACCGCGGCAGTCACCGAGTGCCACGCGTAGTTTTTTAATTTATGCAAACTAGCTGTACCGCGCGAATTCACCCGCGTGTATTTAGGGTAATTTTTTTGGCGGAACCCTAATTATATATAAATAATCTGCCAGTGAAAGTTCCGTCAAAGTCAGTGAAGCCGTTTCGGAGATTAAGCGAAACAAACAGATACGCGTACAAAATTTTTATGTATTGTTTTTTTTTTGTTATAAGTACTATATTATATAATTTCATATGCATTTAGTAAAAAGCTGTTATTTTGACATTAAGAGTACGATCAGACACTTCAATTTTATTTATATGCAAATTATAAGTGGTTTTATAACCTCTAACTGACACCCGCATCGGTAAAACCCATGCAGAGGTAATAAATAACTCACATACAATTGGCAAATAAAAATTTATTTAACTTTTATTTCTATACGTCTCAATACAGATTCTGATGACGCATTGAACGGGAACCATTGGATTTTTGTACAACGTACCATATCATACATCGTGTATGATTTATGGTACGTTGTTAACATCGTATTTAAAATAATACGTGGCACAACCCCGCGGCTATTTATAGTAGGTGCAGTACGAATGTTTGATCGAGGAACGACCAAGCTCTCACAGAATATTAGCGTAAAACTGCAGCTCAACGCTGCTGTGTTTCGTATGGTGAGTGTAGACGACGGGAGGTCCCATTTTACTGGAAACAAAGCATTCCATGTTAGTCCTCTACTACTTCCTCCTACTACTTACCATCCTTCCTCTACTACTTACCATCTACACTAGCAACTCTCCACTAGCAACTACTTACCATCACGTGGACTTTGTCATCGTTTGTCACTCTTATTCTATAAAAACATTTGTGTAAATCTATTTAAAATTATTATCAAATATCATAAATTACTGTAAATGACTAAACTGTGTGCTCATTTGTTACCCTTATCCTATTAAAAAAAGAGTACCAGCGTTAAATATTAGCTTAATGAAGCGACTGTAGCCTAGTGGCAGGGCGCGGACAGCGAACTCAAAGGGTCGCGGGTTCGAATCCACCGTTCGACTACTGTTGTGAACCACTCCTAACACAAGCATTTTCAGCTTAACAGGAGTGGTTAAAGGGAATATTAATAATGTTAGTTAATAGGATTACTAATATTTAAAAGAAAATGCTGCTACGTTTCGTATTGAGAATAACGATATACTTCATCGTAGTCAATCAAGTTAATCGGGGAAAGATGTCGGAGTCTATGGGGTACAGTATATACTTACTATCAGGTGAGCCGTGTGCTCGTATGTCACCCTTCATTCTACTTATAAAATATCAGATGATTAAGACACGGATAATATTGAACTTGAGAAACCAACATTTTGTTTGTCAAAATGTCTTTATATACAGGGCTATTTTGCAGTAACCGGTCATATTTGCAGAGAAGGTTCAGCATAAGTAATACCGGCAAATGGTGAAGAAAAATTAAACTTTTTGTCCTTTTTGTCTTTTAAATTCAAAATGCATGATAATTGATAACGCATTATTTTAATTGATTTTACTACGTGCGCACATTCGTATGGGTTGATCGGTCGACGAAAACGTTGTTGTTGAGGTGCTAATCGATCATAAGTGTATTTTCTTAATGTGTGCAAGTACTATTAGTATGTTATTTTGTACACTAATATTATAGTTAAGCATATAAACTTCCTGTTCGTCTGACAATTCTGTGATATAAATGAAACTTATAAATAAGGATTACACTTGTGCTTGCAAATCATACAATCGAGCACTAATACGATTTTGTATTGCCCAAATGGCTAGTCTCCATCGAATGAGACTGACCGCTGTGAATCACATTCAATTTGGGATAATTTCCAATAAAAGTAGAAACGTTATTTTCTCGTATTTTATTAAACTGCAATAGCGTTATATCATTATTTATATATCACAACTTAAGTTTAAAATTTGACTACTGTTTGAAAAATACCCTTTTTTTTACATGGGGAAATGCCTACGCATACCCGCCTCGCGGGGGCAAGGACGGGTTATGTCGGACTCGCACCGACTAAAACCCCATGGTGTTCCACCTTCGTCGCATATTGGCAGGGCTACGGGAACGCTTTCGCACACTTCCGCGGCCCTACCAGCGATTGCCGCCCCGTGGCAGCACCTCCTCGGGAGAGGAATATTCCTCCCCGTTCTCCTTCCCAAGTAAGGCGCACCAGAACACATGGCACGCCCTCCTCCACGGCTTCCAATTACATCAGCGCAACAGACGCCCCCGCGTCCGATGCGCGAAAGCCATGGGGCCAGGAAAAACGAGCACTTAGAAGCACTAGCCTTCCCGACCCCAGCGGCGGATCTGGTATATGGCTCCGCCGCCAACCAAGATTCGGCTGCGGAGGATAGGGAGAGCGGCGCCTCACAATACCGACAATCCTCTCCCCCCCGCAGCCCCATCACCACCGCATCAACGGTGCGGCTCCGTTTGAGTCGCGGAGGATAGGGCGAGTGGCGCATCGCCATACCAACACTCCTCTTCCTCCGCGACTCCACCTCGGCTGCAGCGGTAGAGGGTGCGGAGTCCCCACTCGCTGCAGTCCACCAGCACACATCCGAAGTGGGCTCCCCAAGCCCACTCGGAGTGGCCACCTCAGGCCGGCCCTTCACCTCGAGCCAGCCACGTGGGTTCCTCTTTGTTCACCGTGGGAGACCAAGCCACGGCTACTAAGCCCCCCCGCCACGACAAGGCGGGAACCCATTCGGGGGGGTTGAAAAATACCCTGTATATAAATTTCCGGTGTGCGTGTGTTCGTAATTCTTTTCCACTTAAACGGTTTGAAAATTTTGAAGAAATTTTATAGGGTAGTTATGGGGTCACCTGGCTGGTTTTAAACTATAGTTTAACCCAGTAAGTGGATCTGCTGTCGACATCCAGAAATCATCCGTGCAAAGCTAGAACGGACCGCTAATGTTTTATAAATAAACGTGTTACTACTTGTCTATTCCACGCTGGAATATACAGGTACAGTTACTTTAAGGTATAGTAATTTAAAGGTACCTTTATTTTAAGGTATCGAAATTTAAAGATATGACGTCATACCGCTTACCATCTGTACCATAATTTTTTTCGGTTATTCAATACCTGTTCCAGAACATTGGCTTAATAAAAGTTAATTACCTACGATCAAAGTAATCTTTTGGTTTCAGAAAGCCATGGGTTTTCTTGAAGACAGGGACTTTAGCGATGTGCCGACGATACCAGAGTATTATAAAGGAAAGACTTTGTTTGTTACTGGCGGATCAGGTAAGTGCTCGTGTTATCTATGTATGTAATAAATCGTTAGTTGTAGCAGTCGAAATTTGTTAATAAGTGTTGCCCTAGGATACATTTTTCGATTGCTAGATCCACTTCTCATCAGGTAGACTATGTGCTCGATCATCCGTATTCTATAAAAAAAAAAACACTCCACAGGGAGCAGTAGCGTTCGTGAAATTAGAATATAACTAGTCCCGTATTCGTCAAAATATTTTTGAGTTTTTAAAATAAGGTCGACCATGTCTTAGGTGAACTTAACTTTGCAGTCGGACAATGTTACTGTTATAATGTACTAATGTTCTTAAAATGGGTGTGTTGGATGAGATTCAAATATATATATACATAAACACTCATACCTGTCACACAGAGGGGTAGGTAGAGACTACAGACTTCCATTTGGCACGATCCTGACACACCTCTTTCGCTTCCGCCACATTCATATACCTACGCATACACGCTCGTCAGTTAAGGGTACCCCTAATTTGGACTATTTTCAATATATCGCCAATTTGGCCAATAAAACTTCGCCTAGGACGTCCCTTTCCGAATCTTCCATTCATTTCTGCAACATAATTTTACTTTGTCACTCTTTCCTCATTCATTACTTTCTACATGACCAAACCACTGAAGCATTCCTTTCTTAATCATGGTCACCGCATCATCTTGCACACCACACTGTCACTCAGATTCAGCCCATTCAAAAATACCGATAAAAATTAAAATTTGGAAAATCCAAAAGTATATATTAATGTTTATTTTTTTATAGAAGAGGCGGCAAACGAGCATACGGCTCACCTGATGTTAAGTGACTACCGTCGCCCATGAACACCCGCAACACTAGGGTAACTACACTAACGCAGGTGCGTTGCCGGCCCTTTAAAAAGGAGTAAGGTCTTTTCTTGAAAATCCCTAGGTCGTATCGGTCCGGAAAATCGCCGATGGTAAACTATTTCATAGAGAGGTCGTACGCGGAAGAAAACTCTAATGTTTGTGTAATGATTTTAATGATCAATTTACTTTTATTATTACCGAAACACGTATTTCGTTTAAAGCTACTAAAAATTGTTTCTGTTTAATTAACTCGAAATTTTTTTTGACTGCTTGATACCAGTGATAAGCCGACCGAAAAAAATTGTCAAACGACAACGGGACGAACGGTACGGTTTACAGTAGTGAAATTCAAAAGGCTTCCTAAGGATTAAAACCTAAAGTTAATAAAAATATGAAACAAAGCGATAAGTTCAGTTTTTCGAAATATTCACGTCTTTACCGACCGACTGAAATTATTTTCAACGAACGTTTTTTTAAATAATAATCGAATTAAATAATCTTATAAGACGTAGGTCAGAAGTATTGATTGTAATCTCCTCTTGCCATTAGTATACTTTTTTATTCTATTAGTGCAATATAAAGCTAGTGGAAATGATTTGAGTGGAACACGATTTTTGATTTGGTGACAATATAGGACTACATCTCCGCGTCGCGTTCGATGTGTGCAATGATGTATTACTTGTATAAATTGTAATATTGAATAAATTAACCATGTATTGAGAATAAAACTAACATAAGAAATTACAAAAGTAACACAAGCCTAATGGTTCAAACAAATAATAAAAAAATAACGACTGCGATCAAAAGTTTACGTCACAAACCTCTTCCTCCCTTTTTACGTTTGCAGATACAATACATAAATATTATATAGCCTATGTCAATTCCACAATTAAGATGAAAATAACAACACATATATATTAAAATTCATCAAGGCGTTTGGGCTACAGAGGGTGCCAAAGTAATAGTATGAGCGTCTATTACTTTGATTCTCGAAATAAATTGTATACTTTAAATCTCTTAAATGTTGACAGGGTGCTGGCAAATCATTTAATCATTTGGTGTGTTTTTTTTTAGGATTTATGGGCAAAGTTTTAATAGAGAAACTTTTGTATTCCTGTACGGAGTTAGACAGGATATATCTTTTATTGAGAAATAAAAAGGACGTGAAGTCAGAAGATAGGTTGCAATCAATTTATTCATCTCCGGTGAGTAATCATGGTAAAACACCAAAAATAATTTATAATAATAGTAATGTCCTCCAGATCGAATTTTGTTCACGACACGCCGACAGCCAGTTCTAATGGAGTCTAGCTATCTGTGCAAGACAGGATTATACTGCAGAAGGTTTAGGGTAAAACATAGAGTACTATAAAACATACATAATAGAACGGGAGAGTAGGCGGAGCCCGCGTAGCCACAAACATGTCACTAACTCGTCAATTTACACGTATAAATGTCAACACGAGATGTGTTTGGACGTTACAATCGTTTCCAAATTTCGCATGCAAATTATTTAGAAAATGCCAAATTGCACTCTACTTACAAATAAATATGTATTAAAATTTAAACGATTTTTTATGATGATCTTGAAAATTAATCAAAAGTATAAAATGTGTAAATTTACTCAGTCTCTTTCCTCGATTGTTTTAGTCAGTCTGTCAACACAGCGAATTGGGTTTGACGACGCCAATCTTCGTACAAAATAAAGTTGACAGCCATTCTATTGTGTATTATAGTACTCTATGGGGTAAAACACCGCACACTTTCCGGGCTCCGCTCCGGTTGCTACTAGAATTTCTTGACAGAAAAAAAATCAATAACAAATTTTGATCCGACCCGGGATTCTCATGTTAAGCAGTCGCACTAATGACCACTAAACCATTGATGCAATCATAACAAATAATTAATCACTATATATATATATATATATATATATATATATATATATATATATATATATATATATATATTATCGAATATAGAAGACATGTAAAGTCTGCCAACACACGTTTAGAGCAGTACGACGAACTAATTCCAACTTACCTTCTCAAAAGTGAGAGAAGGCTTGTGTGCAGCCGTGGGACGTTTGAAGGCTTGTAAGTTTTTCACAAACAAATCAGTATTTTAATAATACTCTCAACAATTTCATTCGTTAAAATTAATTGTATTAGCCGATGATTTACGGTTATTTATTTTACTAAAAAAGTAGTTAGCTAAGAACCTCACCCAAGCAGCATGTATTTACCCATGGCAGAGTTTATTTTCTCTAGTGGTGACTAGTTAGAGATGATAAAAAGTGATTGATATTGATATTAATAATATCGACTAGTGTAGAGGTTAGTGATGTTGGGTATAATGGTGTTGGGTGTATGTAGTGAGCTTGGGTTCTGGCGGTAGAAGGTGCACGATTTATTCTTCAAAGTAGGTCATATTTACAGTTTTTGTTTTAACATTAATTTCCATACCTAATTAATTAATTCACTTTTTGATATAATGATTACAACTCAACTGGTTATGTATTATATTTCATTTGTAGAATAAATTAATTAAAATCTATGGAAATTCAAATCATATACACCCTTTATTACGAACGGCAATAAAACAATAAATTTAGTAGGCATCTTTGACCTTGTCACTTCGCAGGGTCACAGGATATGGTGGATATGATTTGAATTTCGACAGATTTCAATTAATTTGTTTATTTATTTAAAATTTTTTGTTTTTATTTATTGTATAATATCAGCGTCATAGGCTTCTACGTTGTTAACATGTTATACACCTTATTTTTTCCAGACGGTAAAAAGGTCATCCAGTTTATAACCTTTAATTTATCGGAACCTTTACCCTGTAAAGTAAAAAGTAGATACAGCCTTTATATGTCCCATACTATTTACTAATACGTACAATAGCACAGTTTTTCTCTCATTTCTGAGAGAGTTATGGAGCAAAGACTGCTGAGCTACTTTAATACGTTTTAATGGATTTAACATATTATTATCGGATAAAGATTACAAACTAACGCAGTCTACACGATGATCATATATCTTCAATTATTAAGAATGGGAATGACGATGCATCGTCACTCCTGAGTACTAAGATGGAATGCCTCGTTTTCAGTAAAAAAATCTTCAAATCTCTACAATTTCCATACAAAGCACAGCAGCACATATGCACAAATATTTAATTTCTTAGTCAACAGCAGGTTTCCTCACAATTTTTAAAATGTCAAATTTTCTTTCCCCTCTTGGTAAGTGGTAAATCTTCACGTAACAATTTCAGCGGTGCCGAAGGGTGTCTAACCCGAAATGATGTTTTTTTTTTATATCAACAAAGATTTTGCTGTTTAAATTATCTTAAAATAATGTTTTCAGTGTTTCGATCGTCTGAGAAAGGAAAAACCCGGTGTCTTCGAATCTAAAGTGTTCGTTATTGCTGGCGATGCGAGTGAGGTTGGGCTTGGTATGTAAATCACTTTTTGTTTCTGTTTGTAGATTTCTTTATTAATTATTATTTTACTACTTGTAATGTGCTATTTGAATATTTAAACATTATTTTCTTTTTTATATAATAAGTTTGTAGAAACATGTAGACAGTCCACCAGATGGTAAAAGGCTACTGAAGCCCATGGGCTCTTGCAGCTAAATTTAAATGAATGAAGGAACAGATGCGTTGCCAGTTTGGAGGATTAATCTGGAATACCTCATTAATTACTTTTGTTAAATAAATAAAAAATACTAGCAATGCAATGCAATTAAAATTGATAATGTTCCCTTTAACCTGGTCCTGGTAGGTATTTTAAGCTTGAGTTAGAAGTGGTTGACGACGGTATTCGAATGACGGATTCGAACCCACGTCTATAACACGACGTAATCTGTAATTGCACTGGGTCTCCATACCCTTCAGACCAAAACACAGCAGTGCAAGCACAGTTATTTTATAGAGGATGGTACCTATTCAGACCGTGTAGTGGCAGTGTAAGAATATCCAATACCCCATATCGTCCAGTGGGTGTCGTAAAAGACGACAGAGGAAAACTGAAACAGGAGATGGGCAGTAGCATCTTCCTAATAACGGCTATGGCAAAATCCCCCCTATTGCCTATAGGAAATCTATGGGCCATAGGAGCTCAGACGGTTAGCGCTCGCTGTAAATTTCACAGTACGCGAGCAAAACCGTGTTCGATCCCCGCCGGCACCAATGAAATTGTTAATTGCAGTTTTAATTGCTGATTTACTACGTGCGCGGCGGTGAAGGAAAACATCGTGAGAAAACCTGCATAATCTGAGAAATAAAAGAAATATTTCGACACATGTGAAGTTCGCCAACACGCATTGGGGTAGCGCGTCGAACACTTCCTTGCCCTAAAACCCTCTCAGAAACGAGGGGGGTTTCCTCCCAACAGTGGGACGTATATAGGCTGTAACCATAACTTTAACTTTTTAATATATGGGGGAGGCCTATGTTGTAGGATTTTTATAGGCTGTGATGGATAGATGGACTTATTCAGACGAACTCCAAGGCAGAAAACAAGTTTACTCACCTAATATCGTTTTGTCACATAGTAATCGATCCCCTAAGCTTCTCCCATCAATCAGGAGAATGCAACTTGTATCGATACTCGTAGGTTGGATATTTTAAGAATCTTATATTGTAAGTGGTAACCTCTTATATCCGGTCGTTTTTCCTTATTTTATGGAAGACGAAGCCATCGAGCATATATAAAAGGTTAATGTTAAGAAAGTTCCAAATTGGAATTTGAATATTAAAAGAATTAATACTACATTTTGGCTGTTCTCTAATTAACCTATTCTTTCAATACAATACCTTGTTTGTACCACCCGGTTGTTCTTACACTGACGTGTTAACACGGACAGTTATATATTTCGGAAAGGCAAATGTTAACCTTTGCTTCCATTTTAAGCACGTCCAAAGAATAATGAATGCGTAATTGCAATAAATTAACAATAGAATAATATTTATATTAGGTTATTGTACTTTATTTTGTTTAACGTAGATACGTTATTAGGTCTAAATGGGTGAGAAAAATGGAAAAGAAATACGTGTGGCACTCGGTGACTGCCGCGGTAAAGCTATTGCGTAGCATTTTTTATCAACTTATGCAATTATAATTATTTATTTATTTTATTTATGCAGTTAAGTCTTTGATATTAAATCAAGTTAAACTTTTTGAGAATGGTGACCGATAAGAAAACAATTTTTTTTCTCTTATTGAATAAATGAGAAGTTAATATTGTTTAAAATATTTTTAATATCTTACAATACATGTAGGTTATTCAGGAATTTTTATCATTCAGTTAGCAGCTAGTGTACACGCATACGTCTAGTCGCACGCACACAAACACCGTGCCGAACTCTGCCGAGTGCCGAAGTCTGCCGAACTAAAACGACGTTAGACGATGCACGGCTTTCAACACCACACCTCCGTGCCCGTCGGAGTGGGGAGCGTGAGGTTTTTTTCGTTACGGAATTTCTGGATTCGGTCCCCGCGCTCAAGGCCCGCGATAGAAGCTATGCAATAGCTTAAAAAGTATTCCTTCACATTAAATAATTCCATTAATGTAAACTGTCAAATGAAAATAAAACAATAGAAGTAGTAAGTAGAAGATTTAAGTGCGGGAACCTGTATGAAATTTCAAGGTAAAATTTAATCTCCATAAATAAAAACCAATTGTTCTCCGTTAGTCTCGCAAAACCTCGAAAATGGCTCGACCGATTTTGATGATTTTTTGTGTATACTTGAGTGGGTTCCTGGATGATTTAAAACTCAATTGGACCCGGTAGGTGGCGCTGTTGTCGAGGTCCAGAAATCACCCAAGCAAAGCCGGAGGAGTAGGAGTAGGAGTAGAGGGTGGGTCTCTAGTAGGATATAATGTTTTATGATCTAGAGACATTTAATTAATGGCTTTAAGCTTTGGTTGAAGAAGCGTCTTCCTCATTTAAGAAGTCCTTTATAAATAATTATGAAATTATAGGTAACTAGCTTACCAGGCAGATGTTCTGCCCTTTTCGACGACCCTTTGTCATGTCCTATTAAATATCCTTAAATTTGCAAAAAAAAAATGTGGGCAAAAAAACTATCCTATCTCTCAAGTTGGACCAAACTGCATACGGTGTGCAAATTTAATTAAAATCGGTTAAGTAGTTTAGGAGTCCATCGCGGACAAACAACGTGACACGTAATTTATATATATTAAGATTAAGATTACAGTCACATGTTTAAACTAAAATTTGTTTCACAAAAGAAATCTTGCGGAAATATGAAAACGAAAAAGTAAACTATAGAATATGACAGCAAACTAATGTCAAATTTCGCGAAACTGTGGCCAGGGGATAAGTGTAGTAGTAGAGCCACGCTATGTTATGGTTATAACATAAATGGGTCGGCTAAACCAGGGTAAGACCACGCTCTCACAAAATACCAGCGTAAAATAGCTGTTTCGTATGGTGAGTGTAGACAACCGAAGACCCTCTTAACTGGAATCGAGGGATTTCATCTTAGTTCTCAAGGGTGACAACGCGTCTGTATTGTGGTTCTTAATCCAGGATAAACTTGGATATCTATAGGCGGCAGCATCCACTTACCATCAGATGCAGGTACATGATTGTATGCTTATTTGTTACCCTTATTCTATAATGACTTCTTTCCTCCTGCTTTCAAGATAAAAACTTCTTAAACCAAAGGTTGAGCCTGAGACTACCAATAAATTACGGTTTGTAATGAAACGGTTATAAAATCGTAGCAATGTAGACCCGATATTGCAGTGGCTGAACGTTCAGCTGCGGTGTTGTGAACATCAGTTTCGATTCCTGCATGGTACGAATATTTGTATGGCCTGTTGATAGTCGGTTATAGCCTGGGTGTATGTTAGCGTGCAACTTATTTATGTAAATCGCCTCCCCGAAAATTTCTCTTGTTGGGGACGTAAAGTAAAAAAAAAACATCCAAGGCGTTTACAAGGTGGAATGGGCCCTTGTTCGCCTAAAATTACGCCTAGGGTGGCCATTTTGCAAAATAAGGGAATGATAGCAGGCCAGACTCATAATAAATTAGGCGAAAAGGAATGATAAAAAAGCTTCTTAAAATTCTAAAAGGCTGTAGGTCAACCAGCGTAAGTAAAAAGGTGTGCAATTTAAAACGGGTGCAGCGCCGCCATCATCGAATTAACCGAATTTTGATTACCGATTATTCGATTATTAATAGAACAACATTTGCAAATAAATTTATTTAATTAAAATAAATTTTTGTTTGCAAATAGTATGTGGTTTTATTACCTCTCTAACATGAACATCGGTAAAGCGGGGTCTTTGACAATCCTCAATACTGTTCGGAAAATGCTGAGGTAAAAAAAACTACATAAAAAGTTACAGCCTATATACGTCCCACTGTTGGGCATAGGCCTCCCCTCACTTCTGAGAGGGTTCGGGCTAGGAAGTGTCTGCCGCGCTGCCTTAATGCGTGTTGGCGAATTTTACATGTCTTCGAAATATTTTTTTTATCATCAGACATGCAGGTTTCGTCACGATGTTTTCCTTCACCGCCGAGCACGTGGTAAATCAGCACTTGAAATTGCAATTAACAATTTCATTGGTGCCGGCGGGGATTGAACCCGGGTTACTCGCGTTCTGTTAATAAAAAATAAAACTACATACAATTTGCTAATTAATTTTTTTTAGGATAATTAATAAAATTAGGCGTTATTTGGCGGAAATCCATTTTATTAAGGTTGGTAAGAATTAATTCGCACACAGATGTGTGCTCAATAAAATAAAATTTTGTGTCTTACCTAGTTTGAAGAGCACCTTCCGCCTTCTCTCAATTGCGTGTACTAATCCTGTCACCACTAATCTCAGCACCACTATTCCCAACAACACTACACTAGGAAAGACACACTATCATCGATATATATGTACTACGCACGAGATTTAGCATTCCTAACACTCACTATGTTCAACTGAACTGTACTGCAATCCATACACCTTACTTTGGTGCCATTTATTGTGGCTACCATAGATAAGCTAGTATAATCGGGAGACTAATCGGTGGCTACGATAATCATTCGTACGGAGCGGCGCTAATAGTACTAGAATTCAAATCAAAGTTTGAACTTGAACATGAATAACAGTTCAGTAGTGAAGTAAATAAAAATATTTATTGTTCAAGTGAAAAAATAAATAGGTAATAATATTGTAATACCACAATAGAAAAAATATTTCTTCATTTAAATTCCACGCCATCTACAATCATAAACTAAATCATGCAGATGTTCCATTACAAAACAACAAAACAACCGAATGTAGGTAAAATATTTTACTGAACAAAGTCACTTGACGTGGTGTTTTTAAAAAGTTTTTAATTTTTTAAATTGTTTTATAACCAGTTTATATTTTGGAATATTTATTTCATGTTCTTTTTTATTATACAACATTATAAATAAATATATTTGTAAATAAAATGTAATAATAATGTAAAAAATAAATTTAATAATAAATGTATGTTTTTATATTATACGTAAAAAAATCATTAAAATGTAATTGTGACATAATATTATGTAATATTATCGTAAATTAGCACAGTGGCAAGATAAAAGACAAATTAAAAAAATTGTATTCGATATACTTATTTAACAATACGTCATTCTATCTATATATAATCTATGATGACAAAAACTACTCGCGCAGGCACAGTAACACACAGCAGTAGCACACTTTTTTGTTTGGAATAGCTTCTCTAGTACGAAGTAACTCAATGCACACGACGATAATACGACACGTCTTTCGCCCCTAGACGAGGCATCCTCGAGGCACCCTAGAGGTATTGTCTACATCACATTTTGAAGTTAAAAGATAAATTCAGAGATTTTTTACAACTAATTTTTCTTGACCATTTGCCTATATTACTGTTATTACTTATTATGTACCTTCTCTGCAAATTTGGCCGGTTATTGAAAAATAACCCTGTATAGATATGGTAGGTTCCGGTAGATAGCGCTCGAGCCAAGTCATTAGTAAATGCTATATTTATGGACCGACTGCCTCGTTAATCTAGTGGTTGTAGTAGTGCGACTACTGATCATGAGGTCCTGGGTTCAACTCCCAGGTCGGGCCAAAAGATCAATTATTGAGTTTTTCTGTCAAGAAATTCTCAGTAGCCCGGATTCAGGAAGTTGGCGGTGTCTCATCTCCGTGCCTCGGAAAGCACGTAAAGCCGTTGGTCCTGCACCTATCTCTCTCCGGTCGTGTCGGTTCACCGTCCCATCGGAATATGAGAGTGAGGGAATAGAGAGTGAACCTGTGCTTGCGCATACACATGAGCACTGTAATCCTGTCCTGCGCCGATGGCTAGCCTCCGTTGAGGCAGGCCGCCGTAGCCGAAATCCGGTCTGGAGGACATTATTATTATTTATGGACCAAAATAACTCATATTCACAATGCACCTTGGCTTCGTATCAAAAAGAAAAATCGTAAATTCTGAACCCGAAAGGAGGCACTGATGTGTAGCTGTTAATAAATTATATTTACCCTGTAAATAAATCTGGAGTGAACTTGACTCCTGTCGGAAAGAGCAGATCAACGTCTGCTGGACCCCCTAATAACATTTTAAACGACAGTAGCCTAATGGTAGGGCGCGGACCGCGAACTCAAAAAGGTCGTGGGTTCGAATCCGCCATTCGACTACTGGCGTGAACCATTTGTACACACAAGCAATTTAAGCTTACCACGAGTGGTTAAGGGAATATTAGTAATGTTTGTGGCATTGCTAATATCCTTTTTTAAACATTTTTACATGGTTTCAGGTTTGTCCGAAGAAGACAGAGCTCTACTCGTGAACCGTGTCAACATTATATTTCACGTAGCTGCCAGTGTTCGGTGAGTCTGTTGGACTTTTTTACTTCTAAAATCCAGTGATTATTTAGTGCTTGATAGGTTATGTATTACTATCCCACCTAGACCCTATCTAATAGAAGTTACAATTTACAATTTGTAATTACGATTTACATTTTTAAATTTCTAGTTCTAATGTTTTTACTAACGCTAATTTAATACTACACGTTAAATAGGGTTGACGATTATTAATTATTGATAAAAATGACAGACTTTTTTTTTAGAATTTTAGGAGTTTTATTTACTAATATTTAGCAGTGTTAGTTTTAAAATTTTGTAGCTTCATTAAACGGTATTTACTGCACAATTCGACAATTATGTCACTTTTTTACAAAATTGTCGGATTGTTACGTTCATTAGATAGGGCCCTGATGGTAAGTGGCGATGTAGCCAAAGAACACTAATAGCTTGTCAATAGGTAAATAGGCTTGTCAATGCCTATGCACTCTTGACTTGAAGACACATTGTAAACGAACGGGAAGACAGATGTTAGCAAATATTCCAACTCATTTAATGTACCGCGCCTTGAACGACAACGAAATCGTTTAGTTTAAATGCGTGGTATATCGACAACATAGAGTGGATACCCGCAGAATGAATGGTTGTACGATAGTGAAAGGGGTAGGAGGGATTAAATTTTGTTATTTCGTGTACACTCCCTGAAATGTATCCTAGATAATGAAGAGATAGAGATAATAGACGCTATGCGTCATTGTTCGAGACTGACAAAAAATAGACAAGTCAGTCCGGTTAATTCTGTAAATAGTAACTAATAAAAATATTCTTTCTTTCTTTCTAAGTACTAAAGTCTACGGGCCTCTACCGTTGTAGGAAGGATAAAGAAGTTATTTTAAAAGTGTTAATATTTTTTAATTAATAATTTGTGGAGGAAACTGTTATAACACTTGCATCGTAAACTACATACATTTATTTATTTAAATCGAAATGTTGCCAACATGTATATTCGAAATATTCCTATGATGCACTTGAAATTTGAATTATTAACGCTTCTTTTTTTATGTAGATTCAATGATCCGCTCGCGGTTGCGGCGCGTTTGAACCTGCGAGGCACGAAGGAAATCGTTGATCTGGCTAAGGATGTTAGATTTTTAGAGGTATGTGTTTTTTATAGAATTAGGGTGATGAACAAGCACACAGTCCACTTGATGGTAAGTGAATGCTGTGGCCTACATTTATCCTCAATAGATGGAATGCCTCGTTTTCAGTGAAAAAGGGTCTCCAGTTCTCTAAACTCACCATACGAAACACAGCAGCATTAAGCTGCTATTTTACCCTGGTCGAGCCGACCCAATCGTGATACAAACATAACATAGCTGTAGCGTGGCTCTGCCACATATAAGTCCAATAATGTTTAGGTCAATCTCGAAAATAGACACAACTTCCAAAAATCAGCAAAAGAGCATTATTTTTAGTAGCAGCCTAATGGTGTGGAACACGTACTCAAAAAGTCGTCGGTAACAATTTGCTATTCGACCACTGTCGTAAGCCACTCATAATAAAATAATTTTGAGCTTACATTTTGTTTTCTCTGTCTTTTTTTATATTACTTTGTTTAAGATTTTGTCGAGAATCGTGGAGGCAGTTTACTTACAAAAATTGCACAAAGACAAACATCTAGACCCGAAATAATTATTTGTAGACCATAAAAATTCTTAGTACGCGTGGGATTCGAACCACTTCACCACGGAGCCGTCAGATCCGGAGTGGTTGACGGGGATATAAGATTGAAAATGGAATTGCAAATATTTTATTGAAAAATAAATAAACATGAGATTTAAGAATTGCGCAGGATATAGTTTAGTGCCTTATGCGTATGCATAAGCACATATGCAAGTGTATGTGTTCACGTATAACGAATACATTTAACTTTAGTCCCTGGTTCGAATCCCGGATCGGGTCAAAATCGGTTATAGGGGTTTTCTGTCAAAAATTCTCAGAAGCAGCCCGGAGTCGGAAATTAGGTGTTGTTCGCACCCGGGATTCAGAAAGTGCGTAAAGCCGTTTGTCCTGTGCCTGGTCTCTCTCCGGTCGTGTCGGGTAAAGAATTCAGACACGGACCGAACCCTTAGAAGAAACCGTTGGACCCCACCCCTTACCATCGGACTATGAGAGTGATGGAGTACATAGTTTACCTGTGCTTGCGCACACATTCGTGCACTATAACCTTGCCGTGAGCAGTTTCCATTAAGACTGGCCGGAATTCAGTCTGAAGGACGTATAAATTTTATATTTTTCTAGATGTAACCGCACTTCGGCTTTTGTCCCTGATTTATACATAAAAAATACATACGAAAATTGCTCGTTTAAAATATTACCGTTACCGTTACAGCTTAAAGTCCACTGCTAAGCATAGGCTACCTCCTTAGGTTGGAGGGATATTTGCCATAGTTGCCACGATTAGCAAGCGGGTTGGAAACCGCAGTTTTTGACGTGAAAACGTCTAATAAATCAATAAAAGCCGGCTGCATGCACGATAAAGGATGACTCATTGTCCCGTTACGCTCCAGTCAAGCCGAGCACGATCGGAGCGAGAGTGCGGCACGAACGAGCGAAAGGCACGATCGGCATGCGCCGCATAAATAAGTATGCAATGGGTGCGTTTGGCAGAAAAAAGCGCTAGCAAGCGCTTATAAGCGCTGAAATAGTTTTCGGCCAGGACACGATTGCTACTTCAGTAGCGCTGACACAATCCGCCATTTTGCTTATTTAATTTGTTTGTTTTGAAGTAGAGTTTATAAGTTGTTTTGTGCAATATTAGTTTTGAGTAATATAATGACATGAATAAACATATACATGTTATTAAAAATTCATGATTTGTAAGTTTTTAATATGAATACTTTACAACAACATTTATTTAAATTAGGTTAGGTTCCCCGGTTAAAACTAACATCGTGTCCTGGAGAAAAATAGCTACTTACGATTTGACAGCGCTTACCGCTTACGATCGCCATTTTGCTTACAAGCGCTTGCTAGCGCTTTTTTCTGCCAAACGCACCCTATCATTTCATCAATTTTTTGTTATGACGTTGTCACGTTAAACTATCATCCGTAAACCGACTTTACAGACAACCATTTTTTGATTTTTAGTCGTTATTAGGAAGACGCTGCTGTTATCTCCTAATTTGATTCCTTCTGTCGTGTGTATCTTACGCCACCTACGGGATGATATCGGGTAATAGATATTTTTACACCACCTATACACGGTAAAGTATTAATTGCTTATTAATTACTTGAGTATTTCCCAGGTACTAATCCACGTCTCAACATCGTACGCCAACACCAATAGAGATCCGGTCGAAGAAATCATGTACCCACCCCATGCCGACTGGAGAGACACTCTGATGGTTTGCGAGGGAACCGACGAGCACACGCTTAAAGTATTAACTCCAAAGTAAGTATCCTTATATATTTACTACTTGTTTATTTATTCCCTATTGTACACCAGAGTACAACATATCTTATCCCTCTGAGAACAATTTTTTCCATATAATCTTTGCGTAGAGAACTAACGCAAATAAGAAAGTAGAGGAGGGTGTACAATAACAACATTTTTAAGGCGAAATAGTATCATGGTCAACGAGTGAGGAGCGGCGATATGCTCATGTTTAACCAGCCCTCGTGCAATTTTATTGCACGATGTTTATTTGATATTTATTTTAAAATGAAATATACTCTTTTATTGGAAAATAAACCCATAATTCCCTCATCTATTTACTGGTGAACACATAGACAGAATTTAATTGAAATTGCTTTAATAACATTCGTATAAATCAAAATCGTAGATTTTGAGGAAATCTGCTCTTGGCGCCCACTTCACCTTAACAAGATCTGTCTTAAATTGCTTTCTAGTATTTTTTCCGGTCCAAAAGTGACCTTCTCCAGAACGAATAACGGTCACGGTGGGCAATATCAACGGAGACAAGTTATCTGCACAGGACAGGATATCAGTGCCCAAGCGTATGCGCGCAGGTGCACTCTCTGTTCCCTCACTTTCGTGGGCCTATGGCACGGTAATGCGACACGAGTGGAGAAAGATCAGGCGCAGGACCAACAGCTTTACGTGCTTTCTGAGGCAGGGGGTGAAACACAGGCAACTTTCTAACTTCTGGCAGTTACTGAGAATTTCTTGACAGAAAGGCCCAATATTCGGGGCTGTCAGCAGAAAATCAACAGGAAAGGTGCATGATACTCCACATCTGGAATCAGCGTGGGCGAAATGACCAGTTGTTTCAGACCATAAGCCAAGGCAAAGTCGTATTCAAATCTCCCCGCATGATCGGTAGTACGAGAACCGAGCCATTTGGGGTGATGAGCGTTGAAATGGCCCACGAGCACGATCTCTGTGTATGGGATCAATTGAGCGGAGTTATGTGTCCCCCCCCTTAGAATACTTCTCTTCTGATTCTCCAGGATCGTCGATGCTGGTAACCTTCTGGAGTATATTTTTATTTAAAACCGCTTTCATGTTTTTCCTAGTAAATTATGTTATAAATTGTAAAATATTTTATTTGCAAAGTGTATTATAATTTGCAAAATGTGTAGTTATCATTTTTATAATATAAAGCCCCCTAAGTGGAGACGATGTGGTTCTAGCCTAGGGTGCTGTCGACATTTAATGCATCTCTGAGGTCAACTGTGATTTGCCGGACTCTAATCAAACGAAACATCTAGCAGCACAATATATATTACATAATCCACACAGGCGATTATTTCTGATCGTAAGGTCCCAGATTCACGTTACGACGTGGTAGTGTGGGTCGGCTGGACGGGGAAACAATTTCGCATCGAATATCAGCGTAATATTGCTATGTTGCGTATGATATGAGATGAAAACCCGAGACTCTTAAAACTGATTACGAGGCATTCCATATTTTTTAACCCTTAGGGGTGACAAAGCGTTTGCATTTTTCTTCTTAATAAAGGATAGCTTTCTTTGAGCTTACTTCATCATGTAGATGAAATGGTTTTTTACCCTTTTTTCATCATAATCATAACTGCCCTTCACAAGTCCTCTGCTGAACGTAGGCAAGGAAAGAATGCCACAAATGACGGCACTGCGCCACCAGCATCCATCGACTTTCTGCATATCTTATTACCATCTAGTAAGGGCCGCTCAACACTTCACTTACCGGTAAGTGGTGGCCACTCGAGAACCTTTCTTCTCCATCAATTTTCGGTCCTTCGAGTTATATGCCCGGCCCATTGCCACTTCAGCATGCTAATCCGTACCCTCTTCTTCGAAAGTCGTTAATAGACTTTTACTTTATCCTTTAATTTTCTCATATAATCAAATAATACACCGAATTCAATGATAGCGGGTAGCCTGTCCAATCAACAGTAAAGCCTAACCTCTCCCGCTTCGTGTTCGAGATGAGCAAAATTAACACAAGGCATTTCTTCGAGTTCATTATTTTATTTATATTTCTACGCAGTTCTATCCAATGTTTTCAGATACCTCGGGGAGCTGCCAAACACCTATACCTTCACCAAACAGCTCGCCGAGCACGTAGTTTACGAACAGAAAGGCAAGCTGCCCGCTGTAATCATTCGGCCGTCTATTGGTAAGAACTTAATACATCAACAAGATAAGATTTGACTTTTTACAGTCTATATAACTGAAGTAATATGTGCTACATACTAGACAGCGAGACTTAGTTGTTTACAACAAGCGTTAGAGTCCAAGGGCTCAAACTTATTTAGTGTGTGCCATATGAAGGAAATCCTCTCAGAAATGAGAAGAGGCCTGTGCCCACGAGTGGGACGTATATAGGCTGTAACTTTAACTTTATATGAAGGTACTTTGTGGCTCCTTCCACGCGCTCCGCACTGCTGCACATATTTTGTTCGCGGTGTCTGTTCTAGTACGAAGTACATATTACTTTAGCGGTCTATGTTCCATTTAAAGTTGAACAAAGACCTCCTCTCATTTCTGAGAAGGCTATAGGGCACTACAGACAGTCACGATACTTTTCTTTACCGCCGTTCAAAAAAAACTAGAATTAGGCTGACTAACGAGCAAACAGTCCACCCGATGTTAAGTGGATGCTGTGGCTCGTAGACATCTACATATATTCTCAAATTAGAACCAAAATGCAGATACGTTGTCACCAGTGAGGACTAAGATAGAATGCCTTCTTTTCAGTAAAAAGGGTCTCCGGTTCTCTACACTCACCATACGAAACACAGCAGCAATAGGTAAGCTGCTATTTTACGTTGGTATTCTGTGAGAGTGTGGTCTCAGTCGATCAGACCCATTCGTACTGCAGCCGTAATATAGCTGCAGCCTGGCTCCATCACATGAGATCACACATCATAAAATATAATTTATTATTGCAATTAGCAATTTCATTAGCGCCGAAGGAGATCGGAGTCGGGTTGCTTGAGTGCTGTGAAATTAATGGCAAGCGCTTGCTGGCTTACTTACCACTTCCTTTTAATATTTTTTATTTTCTTACAATATGTATAATCGTACCATCAGGTGGACTGTGAGCTCGTTTGTCAACCTTATTCTATAAAAAAAAAACAAAAGCAAGTCGAGTTCCGTACCTGCTGGCCGTATTTATCACGTGATAGGTGGTGAAGGAAAACATAATGGGGAAAACTGCGTGTCTGCAAAATATATTAGCGAAATCTATTCTGCTCTAAAACCCTTATAGAAGCGAGAAGAGGTCTGTGCCCAGCAGTGGGACGTTATAATATATAGTTTTATAATAAAAATTGATTTACAGTGATATCTAGCATGAAAGAACCAATGCCTGGGTGGATAGAGAACTTCAATGGCCCTGCTGGTATCCTTGTTGCGAGTGGTAAAGGTGAGTGCACAATATGACTATTATATGTCCAAGATGCTAGTGATATAAGTTCTGATGCTGTGGATACGTAAATGGGAGCTTTTGAAAGCTGCCTCCTTTCATCGTAATTCAACTGTATACTTCAATAGTAAGTAAGTCAACTGCTCCCAGTTTTATCCTATGTTACATACCTTAACTTTTTTAAGCAGAAGAGACGAAAAAGCCTACAGTCCATGTGATGGCAAGTGTCTAAAGCAGCCTATAGACACATGCAGCAAACATCAAAAAAGATACTAGATAGACATACAGGGTTACTTTTCAATAACCGACCATATTTGCTCAGAAGGTTCAGAATAAGTAATATAGATAAATGGCGAAGAAAATCAGTTAAAAAAATTTCAAACATTCTGTCCTTTTTATTTTTTAAATTCAAAATGCGTGGTAACGCTTTATTTTAACCGATTTTACTGCCAACGCACATGTATGTAAAGGTCGATCGGTAGGCAAAAAACGTTGTTGCGCATAAATAACATTCAATTTGGGGTAATTTTAAATAAAAATAGAAGCCTTATTTAATTGTATTTTCAAAACTGCATTAATGGTATATCATTACTTATTTATTTGAACTTAAGTTGAAAATTTGGCTACTCATTGAAAAGTAACCCTGTATACTGCAATGATAAATAAATCAGCCGCTTCCATTTTTATTCTATACTACTTACCTAAATATTTTTTCATTAAGAGAGATGACAAACGAGCTTACAGTCCATCTGATGACATCTACTGCAAACCATGTACGCATGCAGCCAACGTCATAAAAAGGTCACATACATAATATTCATTGTCGCATCTGAGGACTACTATGAAATGTCTCACAGCATGTAATATCTCTTAATAAGACGGCAGAAACAGGTAAGAGGGTTTTTTTGTAGTTGTGGTTTCTAAAACCAAAATGAATTTGCGAATGGGATACAATTTCAATTTGGGAGTAGTCATTGGTGTTTGGTCTGTGAACTGTTTTCGATCTAATATTTTTCCAGATTATATGGTTAGGTACATGTTGAGAATATTATAAAATGGTACCATAGAGTGTGCAATTCATACAATACAATTTTTAAATATATACAAATAAATTTTATCAAGATCTGACCAGTGGTTTTTGAGTTATCCTTAACAATGCGTATTTAATTGACTTCGACTGCATTGATGATGTGCAGATTTTATTTATATTGAAATCTGTTGTACAACTTCGCTGGTTTGGTCATGTGGAAAGAATGAATGAGGAAAGAGTGACAAAGAAAATTTATGTTGCAGAAGTGAATAGCAGAGTCGGAAAGGGACGTCCTAGACGAAAATTTATCGACCAAATTGGCGATTTGTTGAAAACGGGCCAAATTAGGAGTACCCTTAACCGACGAGCATGTATGCGTAGGTGTATGGATGTGAAGGAGGCGAGAGAGGTGTGTCAGGATCGTGCCAAATGGAAGTCTGTAGTCTCTGCCTACCCCTCTGGGTGACAGGCGTGAGTGTTTATGTTTATATATGTTGTACAAAATTAATGTTACCACTTCTTTACAGATCAATTCTGTATCCTGTACCTGTATTCGCAAATAAATAAATTTGAATTTCCGCTTGCTCACATACTCGTGCACTAAAATCCTGTACAACACACGGCTTATCTCCGTTGAGATCGACCGTCATGATCAAAATTTCGTCTGGAAGCATTATTATTAATCTTTCAAGTAATGGTTACCAGCTGACATATTCTTATCAGGACTATGTCCTATAATTGGCTTAAAAGCATGTGGAAATGGAAAGTATTTATGAATGCTCCTTCGTACACTGAACACTTGATCCCCATTTCTATATGTACATTAAACCACAAAAAATCATTCAATGTAATAAAATTAAATATATTTATTTCATGGATGTAAGAAATTAAAGAGACGCATGCTTAGTTTGAAAGTAAATCCCATAATTAAATAACATAATTTAACGTCTATGTATATGTGTGTTAATTATCTGACATTTGTTGTGTGTGACATTTTTTTTTCTTAAATTTATCATGAAATTGTAATTATTATTGATATTCATAGAACATTTACAAAGCACTAGACCTACAGTTATAAAATTACATACTTTTTTTTTATAGAAGAAGGGGCAAACGAGCATGCGGCTCACCTGATGTTAAGTGACTACCGCCGCCCATGATCAACCGCAACACCAGGAGAATTGCGGGTGCGTTGCCGGCCCCTTAGAAAGTAGTAAGCTCTTTTCTTGAAGGTCCCCAGGTCGTATCGGTCCGGAAAAATCGCCGGTGGTAAACTATTCCACAGAGAGGTTGTACGTGGAAGAAAACTCCTTGTGAAACGTACAGTGGTGGATCGCCAAGCATCCAGATGGTGTGGATGGTATCGGGACGTTTGCCGTGTAGTGCGTTCACGAAATTTGGCGGCTGGGATTAATCCGAACAATCCCTCAGAGCACTCCCCGTGATAGATGCGATAAAATACGCAAAGAGATGCAACATCTCTTCGCAGCGCTAGTGAATCGAGCCGATCGGAAAGCACTCGGTCGTCGACGATTCGAGCCGCTCTGCGCTGGATGCGGTCAAGTGGAAGGAGCTGGTACTGGGGAGCCCCAGCCCAGAGATGGGAACAGTATTCCATGTGCGGCCGAACCTGCACCTTGTAAAGTTGCAGGCGGTGTGCCGGCATGAAATACTGTCCCGCTCTGCTGAGCACGCCAAGCTTCTTAGAGGCCAATTTGGCCTTCCCTTCCAAGTGACCACGAAACTTCACGTCACTCGATATGTCGACGCCGAGGATTCCGATACTGGCTGAGGCAACAAGGGGAGTGCCTTGAAACTGAGGGGATACGACAAAGGGGTTCTTTTTAGCGGTTAACGCGCAAACTAGTGTCTTCTGGGGGTTAAACTGGACTAGATTTAGTCGTCCCCAATCCGACTCGACTTCAGACACAAGTTTGTCCCGGCACTCGGAGACGTTTTCCCGAGAAATATTGGCTCGGCCGGTATAAAGAGCATCACTAGTGCTGTCATCTGCATAGCAATGAATGTTACGGGTATGCAACATATCATTGATATGCAGAAGAAACAGCGTTGGCGATAGCACGCAGCCCTGTGGAACACCAGCATTAATTGGCTTGCAATCGGAGCTTGCATCGTCTGCAACGACCTTGATGCTCCGATCTGCAAGAAAGCTGGTGATCCAATCGCACAATTTCTCGGGAAGCCCATAGGAAGGGAGCTTCGAAAGAAGCGCTTTGTGCCAAACCCGATCGAAGGCCTTCGCAATGTCCAAACTAACGGCCAATGCCTCTCCCTTGAACTCTACTACCTCCGCCCATCTGTGAGTTAGGTAGACCAGAAGATCACCAGCTGACCGACCACGGCGAAAAGCGTATTGGCGGTCACTAATCAGCTGGTGATCTTCAAGGTACCTCATGAGCTGGCAGTTTACAATGGACTCCATTGTTTTGGAGAACAAGGAGGTGATGGCGATTGGTCGGTAGTTGGACGGGTCAGAGCGGTCGCCTTTTTTAGGGATCGGGTGGACGTAAGCCGTCTTCCATGATTTTGGGACAACGCCTAGGGAGTAGGAGTACCGGAAAAGACGCGTTAAAACCGGTGCCAACTCTGGAGCACACGTCCTCAGCACAATTGGGGGGATTCCGTCAGGCCCACTCGACTTGTGGATGTTCAGGGAGAGGAGTGCTTTGCGAACTGAGCGCTGTGTGAAGTGCACTTCCGGCATGGAGCACTAATGCATACCACTAGCAAAATATGATTGTACAAAACCAAATTATTATTTCTGTAACTACCATATTTCTTGTAAATAAAATTATTATTATGTGGGGTATCAATATAGTTTTCTCATTTGGTTGGGTTTTATAAATATATAATTATAAATGGAAATGAAAAGATAAATATACATAAATATCAATGAAATAAAATAAATATAAAAAATATATAAATAAATAAATAAAAGCCCAACCAGATGGGAGCCCTCGGCAGGGGAGACCAAACGGCCGAGGGTTAGGGGGAAAGGGAAAGAAACCGGCGGACGATGCGGTCGGTATCGAGGAGCACCGCCTTCTGCATTTGAGCCTGGAGCGGTCCGCCAAATTATTATTATTATTATTATAATGTTAAGAATTCAATTTTACTTTCAGGGATACTCCGCAGCTTGTATTCAAACCCGGACATATCAGCGGACTACATGCCTGTAGACATTGCTATAAAGGGTTTTATAGTAGCTGGATGGATTAGAGGAACCAAAACGTATGTACTTTTTGATTATTTTTAATTTTTATCTTATTGATTATTACCCATTTCATTTAATATATGTCGGTTCACGATTTGACTGTTTGTTTAAAAATCATTAAAGCCACATCTGAAGATCGGTATGTGTAAAAAATAAAATTATTAATTCATAAGTAACCAAAGGTAACTTAATTGTTGTTGATATTGTAATGATGTACTCCTAGTGCATTTTTCATTTTAAAGTGTGAAAATAGTCGATGTCTAAAAATCAAATATCATCAAAATATTTTATTCAGAGCAGTTCTATTCGTTGTGACTGTTATTTTTTTTAATAGTCATAGTGAATAATTTGAGGAAATGATAATAAAAAATGATATAAAAAAGGACTGGTTTTTTCAAAAGGTTGGAGTCCACCGATGACATACCAGTATATAACTGCTGCGCGGGAAACCTCAACAAAGTTACAATTGGAGAAGTAGTGAAGCTGGGCCATGAAGTTGTCGTCTCCATGCCTCTCAATGATGCTCTGTGGAGGGCAGGTGGCTCGGTGACAACGTCGAAACTGGTGCATTATATTAAGGTAACTAAATATTATGGCTGTAGCACAAATGGGTCGTCTCGACTGGAGAAGGACCACGCTCTCACTGAATACTAGCGTGAAATAGCAGCCTAATGCTGCTGTGTTTCGTATGGTGAGTGTATAGAACCGGAGACCCTTTTTTACTGGATACGAGGCATTCCATTTTAGTCCTCAGGGGTAACAACTCATTTGTATTTGGACTCTTAATCGAAGATAGATGGAGATGTCTATGGATCACTGTATTCACTCATTATGAGGTGGAATTTGTCAACCTTATTCTATAAAAAAATCTTATGTCCATTAGTTGCATGCTGGCTGATGATAACTGTTTTTTTGTGATAACCGCATAAGTTAGGTAAATCATTTTAAAATGACTATGAATTATATATATATATATATATATATATATATATATATATATATATATAGGCTTATGTATTTTACTACATTATCACTATCATTATCTCTTAGCACATTTTAATAAAATAAAGTATTTTATATTTGATTAGCGCTCCGAATTTGCACGAGGGATTTTTGGGTGTCGACCTCACGAAAGTGACGAAAATCAGGGAGCCGTTTTATAGTTTTTGCGCACGGCAATTGACTTTTATTACAAACTAGGAATCTGCCTCGGCCTCGCACGAGTGATATCTGGATACTACAACAGCGCCAGCTACCGGATCCAAGTCCACCTATAACCTTCGTAGAAGTGCAAGAAATATGTTGACAAAGTTTTACCGCAATCTGATGAACGGTATGGCAGAGCATAAAATACGAAAAAACAAAAATTATTTTTTATATATTAGATTATGCTGCTTTGTATTACAGTACGGCTATATAAAGAAAATGCAAAAAATCTTCGATAGATTGTGGTATTCATGTCCATGTCCATTTATTAATCTTTACGCTCCCTCACACACGCATCCACGTACACAGGTCTCATTTTTGAGTTTTTGTATATTTGATTAACATTCAAGAATACATACATATGCATTTCAATTTCAGGTTTTACTCCTGCATCTATTTCCTGCTCTTCTGGTTGATTTACTTCTATGGATAGTTGGAAGGCAACCGATGTAAGTGGTACCATATAATTATGTAACGTGTAGTAACAAGTTTAGTATTCTCTATAAAGATAGAAGTTAGTAGTTTATAGATTAAGTCCACAAAATATTTTCTTTTACGATTTTGTTCTTCATCGCCGAGAAGGTGCTAAATTAACACAACAATGAACAATTTCAATGGTGTTGGCTGGGCTTAAAATTTCGTTGTCAGCGTTGAGCACCCGCTGAGCCACGTCTTTACTTTTCGGGTTTTAATTTTCAATATATTTTATCGTTAAATACGTTTAACTGTTCTAATTGAATATTTGGATACATATTAGATCAAGCACCAAATAGATGCATATTAATTGTTGAGTAGCTTCATCTTTAGATTACAAACGTTACAACTCCTAGGCACAGGCCTCTTCTCATTACTAAAAGGGTTTTTAGGGAAAGCGAATTTTTGCCGTGCTATGCGCGTTGGCGAACTTCACATGTCACAATCGAAATATGTGTGCATTTTTATGTTACAAACTTTTAAGGTTCGTAAATTGAAAAGTTTGTAACAACAATAATGTATATTATATATATTTGACATAGTTGCTCACGAGACGGTTTGTAAACCGCATGTTTATATTTTGAATTTTTATAAGTAGGATGCTGCTGCTCATCCTCCGTTTCACTTCCAACAATCACCTAGGGATGGACAAGTGAAAAAAAATATATCGATGTATGTCATATCGATATTTTAAACGGTATCGATATATATCTCGTGATAAATATCGATATATCGACTAGTAAAACTACACTTTAAAATAATTGGAAATCAATAAGTATCTAATATCGATATATTTATATGAGTCAAATCGATGTTTCTATATATCCACATGATCATGCGGATTTATTAAGTTACTTTTAAAATTTTAGGTTAGTCAAAATCCAGAGACGCATCTATATAGCAAACCTCGCTCTTCGTTATTACTTAACACAGCAATGGACATTTAGCAACGATAACTTTGTCAAACTTCGAGGTTGTTTGAAAGAAGAAGATGAGCAAAATTTCTATTATGAGATGGAAAATATTGATAAGTACGAGTTCTTCAAACAAAGCTGTCTCGGAGGAAGGAAATATTTGCTCAAAGAAATGGACGAGGATTTGCCAAAAGCTCGAGCTCATTATCAGAGGTATGTTTAAAAAGTTGTGCTGTCGATAATGATGATAAATTTTTAAAGATATACTGAACTATTTTACAACAGATACAGATATGTTTAATATCACTTACTGGGTTGCGTGGGATGAGATAAGGTGGTTTGCAATTTTTAAGCTTCTCACCAATTCGTATTATGTATGACTGGTGTAAGCGAGATGATAATGCATACCGTCAAAAACAATAACGAAATATTTTCCTATCGTTTCCTAACTAGAACTCCAAAAATGATATATTAATTTCCCCATAATAGCTCATGGAGTCGCTTTTCAATAGCAATGAGCTTTCAATACAGTATTCTGTAGATTTTCTAAACTATAAAAAAACATACCTAGAGATTTTTACTTGATTGAGTGAGATATTTTTTAAGATAGAAACGCATTTTTTTTTATTGTTTCAGGATGATATATTTGGACATTGTGGTGCAGTGTATATTTTACGGGTTCATATTCTGGCGACTGATCCAGACGAGTTTCGTCCAAGATTTAATTCAGTCTATATATAGTATATTTTTTGTTTCTTCATAATTAAGTTTTTTATATAAAAAAAAAAAATAAAAAAATATAGATATATATATATATATATATGCTGCAATTTGGGGTATATTACATTATAGGTTTACATCGAAACGATAAAGTTATAGACTAAAATTTACTTAGTTAGCAACGAGCTCTTAACATTTTAAGGTAACATCGTGACTTGGGAATAATCCACTATGCAAATGTCGTAGGAGGTAACACAGAAGAATTGAAATAGAAGGACAATAGCATCTCCCTGATAACAATTCAATTTCCTGATAATTATAATGGTGGTAAACCGTTTGATTGCAAATATCTTACCAACAATTCAATCCACGGTCCATGTTAAGCAGTAGCTTTGATGAGCTGTAGTGAATTAATAATTAAAAACAAGAGTTAAAACCCTCTTCATCGAGTATAAGTGTTTATGGGCCACAGTCTCCACTTACCAAATCAATAATCACTTCGTAAAACTGCTAGATGAAAACATGAAATAAATCGTCATTTGGCCTTACAGATTATAAATTGTATGAAAACATAAATAAAAGAAATATAGTTTGTAAAATCCTTTATTTTAAGAACTATAATTGGAACAAATAAGTAGTCCACCGAGCACCATCAACACAGATAATACTATTAAGTCCTTGTGACATCTGTCGAACATAATATTACAATTATTATAATGGATTTGATATATCACATAATCATTCCTTAGACATAAAAATCGCTATAAAGTTATTAACCAATTATTAAAATAAACTTCCACAGTCGATGAAAAATGAGCTCATTATTCCGCAGATATGTCTATCCTATATCATGAAGGCAAGGATTTTGATTAATTTCATCAGTTAGTTTAAGGGATCGAAAATTATTTTAATATTAAATAAAAATTAACAAGATTGAGTATTTGCGTTGAAAATATATAACAAAACATTAAAAAAAACACTATATTCTAAATTCACTTACTCAAATGGAATGTTATAATACTATCACTAGCCTCCGTCCAACAAAATTCAATCTGTTTTCACAACAAAAGTCATTATAAAAATCAATAAAACAAAAATCTTTAAAAAATTATCATCTATTGAAGACTCAAAGTCCGTACGATACAGGATGTGGAATCTTGAGCAATATCTAAATAAATTACTGATTGAACATACGAAAGTAATCTCCACGTTTAGGTACTTATTTCAAACTTACACTAACGTATAATATCAGGTAGATAGCGGCTTTCGTACAAAATGTTTTCCGCTAGATGCGACAAAATCGCTGTGACAACATTTTATCAAATCCACCGTAAGCAGGCACTTGAACAGGTATGAATATTAAAATATTAATACTAATAAATAAATATCAATCAATTTCATAAATATTTGTAAAACCAAATATTTCATCCGGCATTCCCTTATCGTCACTATGTAGCGTATAAGAAGTTATAAATCGAATATTTGGTTGACTGAGGGTAAATAACGATGAGATTCTACGATTTATTTGGCTAGATATCTTAATAAATGCTAACGTCTTTTCGCACTGTTCAAAAGTTAAAATCGATCTGGTAAAAACGTTAAAAATCACTGAAAGGAACGCCCACTGCATTATTTAATTTACATTCATCAAAACTCTATACAGTCTCATCTCTAATTGGCAAGACATAAACATTTGTTAACTACTCGGATCAACCGATATGTAAGTACAGATCATTTTTGAGCTTGGAATCTCTGCGCCTGTCGTTTGTCGGAAATATAACCGTGGACTCATCAAATTCACTGCCATCGTCGATTACTTCTAAATATTTGAAGTCTTCATCGCTATCAGTTTGGTTTACTGCTTTATAATCTTTGTAGTTATCATTTTCTTCCCCTGAGTCACTTTTATCTGCTTCTGGACTTAAAAGAGAGTTCTTTCTTATGTTAATAGCGTTCTTTACTTGTGTTAATTCATCTTTTAATGTAATTTTGACATTGACAACTGAATCTTGAACTTTGTCAGACAGTTTGGTGCTTAGCTCTTTGATCTTTTCGCTGTGCGTTTTTATTACACTAGGCCTTTTTTCCTCTACCCGTAAATCAAAATTATCTGATTCGCTATCATTGAGCGGTATTTCACAAGGAGAGTACACGGAATCCCTGTCGTTATTTCTGCTTTTTGCTCTCTCTTGATCGAACAAAAAGTCGGTTTTAAAGTTGAAATTGCACTTTCTGTTTTTGCCATTGTAGGTCCTAAACATGATTTTGAACGTCAATATGTAGGTGGTCATAAGGAGTAAAAGGGCGCCAACAATAAAACATATGTACATCGTGCATCTCTCTACGATGGGTAGTATGTTGAGGTATAATTTGAATCTTGACTCTAATGACGGCGTCAAGCTGTACATTCTCTGTAAATAAAGGAGAAAATTTAAATTTTATATATGATTTTAACACCGTCCTTAAATAACTCTGTGACTCATAATTTTAAAAGCTTTCAGCAGTTCTGTAAAGTTCACGAATACTAGATTATAATTAAAGCTAGGTCAAACATTTTTTTAAAACACACTAATTGGATTCAACCTTTGTGTGTTATACTGGCCCTATATATACTTTAGACCGGAACACAGCAGTGACCATACTAGACATGTGTCAGTCGTGAATCATTCGTTTATTTGATCCGGGTCGCATCAAAATAATGATGATTGGAATAAAATTTTTGAACGTTCCGGATCAAACGATTGACGGGACGACCAAAAAGTATAGTAACCAACATTAACAAGCGGGTCTGACATATCACAGAGTATTAAATTGAAATGATCGATTTAAATGATTGACCTGAATGACCCGGTTCGAAATCAATATTTGATGGAGACCCTTTTTAGTGGAAACGAGGCATTCTCTCTCAGTTCCCAGGTGTGACTACGCATTTGCATTTTGATTCTTAAGTGAGGATAAATGCAGATGTATATAAGCCACAGAATTTACTTACCATCAGGTGTACTGTGTGCTCGTTTGTTACCCTTATTCTAATTCTACAAATGATTGGGTCACTAGAAATGAACGAATGCCACATGTCTAGACCACACTGCTCCTTAGAGTCAGAAATAGTTAAGAAGTATATAAGTATAATATTTCAAAATATGCGGTAAATTACATGATATATTATTAGCCCATTTAGAGTAAATTGCTCTTTGTATATGCAGTATTTTAAACATCGTTACAAGTTTATTCCAAGTTTCATATGAAAGCATTGCTAAAATATCTTGTTTTTAGTTGAAATTTACTATAGGTACCGGAATTTTAAGGAGTGATCTTATACAGCTAGGCTTACATTCCCTGCTTCTTTAACTAGTAGTTGTAGTAGTGCGACTGCCGATCATAAGGTCTCAGGTTCGAGTCCCGGGTCAGACCAAAACAACAGTTATTAAGTTTTTGTATCAAGAAGTTCTCAGTGCCTGGAGTCAGGAAGTTGGCGGTGTCTCACCCCCGTGCCTCGGGAAGCACGTGAAGCTGTTGGTGTTGCGTTTGATCTCTCTCCGGTCGTGTCAGTTTACGGTCTCATCAGACTATGAGAGTGAGGGAATAGAGATTGCACCTGTGTTTACGCATACTCTTTGGCAGTATAATCCTGCCCAGCGCCGATAGCTAATCTCCGTTGAAGCTTGCCGCCCTGGCCGAATTTCGGTCTGGAGGATATTATATTGTTGGAATTCTCTGAATGAATGAATTGTTTTACAATAATACAAAAAAATACTCACGATATCAAACCAGAGTAAAGGCAGGTACATATTAGAGAATCTCTCTACGTTATTGATAGCTGATATATCGCCGAGAGCCATATTGATCTGGAACTTGCTACTCACATCTAGTGGGAGACCGGAATCAGGCTGAATCCAAAATCTAAGGAAGAACAATAAACAATTAAGTGTTTGTAATGAGAAAAAAAATAAACAAGATATATTCATTTGAAATTGAAACACAAAAGAAGAAATAAAAAAAAATGTAATAAAAATAATGAATCGTAAAATTCTAATCAAAGACCTTCCCTACTCTTAAATATCTGCCAGAATCTCTTCTGAGCGGAAGTAAATTTAGAAGACCAAGAAATTTTGTAACTTAGTTAAAAGTATGCAAAGTGAGGAAATATTATGATTGATCTTTGATTCGATCCTTGAATGTACTTTTTATCTATCGTAATTATCAAAAATGAATATGTGTCTGTGTGTTTTCAAATTGACAACCTTGTGTGAAGTGTACTCCCGAAAAGAAATCATTCATGGGCCTTCATTTGTAATTATTGCACGTCGTACTATTTTAATATATACCTGGTTTCATGTTGCTCTTTGTTAGGTGTAAGTCCTTCAACTTTGCTGAACAATATATCATCACCCTTGTAGAAATGTGGGTAGGACAAAGCGATTGGGAAGCCGTAGTAACAATCTGTCACATCAATTAAGCCCTCCGGCAGACATTTTCCTGAAAAGATAAAGTGGTTCAATTTTACAAAGGGTATTTTTAAAATCAAATGGCGTCTTTACTAGTACCAATAATCCATAAATATTGATAATTTACTAATAAAATGATGAAAGACGTATTATTTTTAAGGAATTCGATGTCACTTTGGCTAGACTCTTAATAATTCTGGTTGTGGGTACTTATTTGTATGCAATTTATATTTGGAAATCGCATCCAGACATAAGGGAAAGTTCTATATTGGAGAATGGTTTATAGATAAATCTATAACATTTACTACAACGTTTAATTTCATCACAGTTTTGTTATAAACATTCAATTTACCTTCTCTACAAAAGCATTTGTTCGCTTTTATGATCTTGCCGTTATCCAACATGTGTTCCGGAAATGTGTATTTATATCCCCTAAGCCCATTTCTGACTCCTTCTTCTACTGGAATCTGGGTGAAAGTTTACGTACGTTAGTATTAGAAATATAAGTTCATGATTAATATTTTACTAACTAATCCTATTTATTTAAAAAAAATACTAGCGACGATATTATCATACAGTTGCAGTCCTTAAAGTC